TGCTGCTATAATTAGCTAGTCTTGGATCGCATCCCTACAGGCAGAGGTCAGGTTAACTATTGTCGTTGACAGCCTATCCGAACTGCACATAATGACACAAAGTGGTTCCCCCAAAAGAAAGAAATACTGGGCTGACAAAAACCACACCTGCCCAGAACATCATGGAAATTTGGAATGAGAGGGCTAAGAGACCCCAAATGGTCCCCAGAAGCACTTGGTCCAGGTGGCAGCATGAGCAATTGGCCATGACTGTGTTTCTCTGCATTCTATGGATGGAGTGCATTGGAATTCCAGAAAAGTATGCGCAACTCCATATCTACTATTTGCAGCACTGTCTATGCTGCCAGAATAAAATTTGTTATTGCTGCCAAATGATGTTTTTTCTCCAGCCTCTGGGGAGCTATAAACCTGCAGAATTAATCAGGATTTTCATTTTGGTAAATGTTATGAGAATTGCTCTTCCGAGGAAAGCCAACAAATTCCTTCAGAGATTACGGCAATTATTGCTTTCCCAATGCCAGGGCTGACTTCCCTATGGCCTTCTTTATCTCACAGTGCCTCCCACACTGGCCCAGTCCCAAGCTCAGGAATAAGCTGAAGCTGGCAGCATATTACAATCACCTGGGAAGATGTTTGAAAATAGGTCCAAGCCCCACTCAAGATGGACAGATGGAGATTCTCAGAGGCTGGGCTCAGAGCTCTGTATTTTTGAAAAGTGCCGTAGATCGCTGTCCTGTGCAGTCAGAACCACTGCCCTGCTCAGCTGTATGCACTGAAGACCCTGGTGTGTTGGTCCCATTCCCATCCTGTCCTGGCCAGCCCTGTTCCAGCCCAGGGTTGTAGATTAAGTCCTCTCCCCACCAATGGAACCATCTGGAATGAGTCTTGCTGTCTTTGGCTTGGCAAAAGAGTGCCCCAAACTGAAGTCTTCCTCCCCATCTGACTCTCCAGGTCCATGTTCTGGACTTTTCCTTTTCCCCTAGTTTGTATTTTTTGCACTTCGGTTTCTCCTGCTGGGGTCTGAAGCTCTGCGCTGTTCCCCAGCCCACTTGGCCATGGCCCAGATACCCTGCCCGATTGTCAGCCCTGCTCATAGGCCTGGACACTGTCCCCTTAGCTGCCAGCTAGCTTCTTAGTCCAACCTATTTTCTTGGAACTTCTCTATTTGGGCTCTCAGTCCCACCTCTCCTTGAAAGTGTACCCGTAAAGGGTAACCAGTGACTCCTACAGTGCCTAAACCAGCAATCCATTTTCATTTCTCATCTGATGACCGGTCAGCAGCATATGGCACAGCTGACCTTCCCTCCATCTTGAAATACCTTCCTCACTCTACCTCTAGGACACTGCTCACTCTTCTCCGCTTACTCCCTGCAGTTTATTCTTGTCTCCTGATTTTCCTGACTAATAAATGGTGGTGTACCCCAGCGTTCAGTCCTTAGACTTTCTTTGTGTCTATTCTCACTCCCTTGGTGAGTGAGCTCATCCAGCCCAAGCTGTAAATACCACCCCAACGCTGCTGACTTCCAATTTTCTCTAATTCCAGACTCCACTACTCATTCTGCATCTCCACTTTGATGTTAAATAGAAACCTCAAAATAAACATATTCAAGGTCATCACTCCATCCTCACCAAACCAGCTCTTTCCATAGGCTTCCCCATCACGGGAGGGAGAGGGGAACAGCTTCCTCCCAGTTTCTCAGGTCCAAAGCCTTGGACACTATTCTTTTTTTTTTTTAAGATTTTATTGGGGAATTTGGGCAGGGAACAGCATTGGGGAGTCAGGGAAGGGGAGCAGACAAGTTGCTGTCCTTTTTTTCTTCAGTCTAGTTGTGGAGGACGTCGCTTCACTGGCCTATGTTGGCATTATCATTGCCCTTTTCCCTGCTGAGGCAGTCGTTGCCGGCTGTTGGACAGCCGCTCAGGGCAGCTCACGGCAGCTCATGCTGGCTGCCCGCTACTCATGGTAGCTCAGGGCAGCCCACTGCAGCCCCACTGCAGCCTACGCCGTCGCTGGCAACTCACGGCAGCCCAGCTCCAGGTTGAGCTGTTGTTCACCATCTTAGCTGTGGAGGGCACAGCATCACTGGCCCTCATGTGGGATCCGAACCAGGGCCTGCTGCTCAGAGCTGGCGTCCCAAGCCAACTCTAAACCAACGCGCCGCTCCGCCGGCCCTGGACACTATTCTTGGCACTTCTCTTTCTCTCATGCTCTACTCCATTTGTTCCAAATGTATCCAGAGCCCAACTCCATCTCAACACCCACAGCTGTCAGTCTAGTCCGAGCTGCCATCTTTTCTCATCGGAGCTATTACAGCCGTTTCATCACTGGTCTCTCTCTGCTTCCATCTTTGTCCCCTGAATCTCTTCTCCACACAGCAGCCTGTGTGATCTTCTACAGACATAAAAGTAAGTCATATCAGGTCTTTGCCCTGTTTAAAATCTCCCCAAGCCTTCCCAGCTTTCTCAGATGACCTTCGGGGACCTGCAGGATTGCCCTCTCTCCCCCACCACCACCACCACTACTTCTCTGCTCACTTCTCCTGGTTTCATCTCCCACCATGTCCCCCTCTCACCCAGCATTAGCCACACTGGCCTCCAGACTCACACATTCCAAGCACGTTGCCACTTCCTGTTTTCATACTTGCTGTGCCCTCCACCTAACAATGCTGTCCCCAGATATCATACCCACGTGGTTCATTCCCTAACCTCCCTCGGAGCTCTGCTAAGCGATGCCTTGCCTGACGGTCCTTATCCAATCCATCCACAGGCCCTGTCAGTGACACCCTGAAATAGACTGCAAACACCTCCAGTCCCTCCGTCTTCATGGCTGCTTCCCTGGGTGCAAGCCACCATCATCTCCTGACCAGCCCCTGAGTAGACTCGCTGCTTCCACTCCTCCCTCAAACAATAGCCGGAGGAATCTTTTTAAAACACAAACCTGATGTGTTACTCTCTCTCCTGCTTAAAATGATGTCGTGGCTTCCCAGAGACCTTTGTATAGAGCCCCAATCCTTTACCCAGCCTCTAGGGCCTTCCAAGGTCCAGCACCTGCCGATCTTTCTGGCCTCACCTTTGGCTGCTCCTCTCCCCGCACCCCCACAGTTGTCTCTGCTCCATCCATCCTTTATTACATTCCCCCTCTTGTCTCTTGTCCCAGCACCTTTGCACTTGCAATTACCCTTGCCTAATACAACCTCTCTCCCCTCTTTCACCTTGTGTTATTTCAGCTTATACCTTACACATCAGATTAAAAGTCACTGCATCAAGGAGGCCTTCTATGTACCCTCTACCCCAGGTTGGGGCAGCTCCCCCATTAAACGCCCCCATTATTCCCTATACTGCCAATGTTTTTTTTCCCTTTGAGACCCTTATCCTATTTGTAATTACTCCATCACTGCCTTCCCTTCTATAGCTTATAGCTGCCCTGTTCTCTGCATTCCCAGGGCTGGACTTAGTGTCAGCCACGTATGTAGAGACCCCCAATAAATATACGATGAATGGATTGAAGAATTAGCAAATTAATATAGAGGCTCAATCTACATTGTCTCTGGGATCTCCATCACAAACTCAGAAGGCAGAGTGTGTAGGCACTAGTTTAAGCACCCCAGATCCTCTGTCAAGGGACTGTTCTCTCCTCTCTTTCCTCACCCTTTCCCCACCCAGTGCTGAGTTTGGTGAATCTGGGTGGGGGAAGAAATGACATGGCCGATGTGGGTCGAGCCTGGAGGATGAAGGGCTTTGTCTAGAGGGACCTATTTGCCTGGCATTAAAAGTGGGAATCATGCTGTCTATAAATTCCTTCTGTGGTCTCCAACAATCTTCCATCAGAGACTTGCTAATGCCTTGAATTTCTTTTCCCTTCGTCTCAGTCCAATATTTAATAAGCTGACAGAGTTTGTGGCTACTCAGAGCTTGTGCAAGCCTTCGTGGGGCACAGAATATGAAAATTGCCCGCTGGGTTTTGAAAGATGGCATGAGGGCCAAACACATTTGGACACATATGGCAGGCCAGCTTTGTGCATCAGAAAAGATGCCTCTGTGGCGGGTACATTCACACACCTGGGCATCCCACTGGCCAACCCCATACCTGAAATGGAGTGCAGAACAACCCTCAGGACACGAGAGATCCTTTCCAATCTGCTGAGAATAATCTCAGTCCAAAAAAGCAAGAGAGAAGGTTTTGGCACCGGGCTTCCTTGGTCTCAATGGCTGAGTAGAGAGTTACAATCCAGAGCTGAGGTCAAAATATATTTAGCCAGCAGCAGTTAAACTGAAACATTTTAAGTTAAAAAATGTCAACTCCCCTGACTAGTCATCTCAACAGACAACAAGGGAAGGAGAAGAAAATGAAGTGGAGCAGGGCAAGAAAACAATAACAAAAATAGCCAACACACTGCCCCAACATATACCCGTGAGCAAGACAGGAGCTGGAGCAGAGAAAATAGTGACAGAGGGACCAAACTGCAGCAGGGAGCATAAGAAGTGGGGCGCTAAAGGAGCTGCTCGTCATCAGCATTAGAAGCCTCCCCCACCCCAGACCCGACTCCCAGCAGGCACTTCGGAGGAAGGCCTGCTGTGCTGAGGCCACCATCAGGTCATTCACTGACCGAGACACAGCTGTCCTCCAGCACAGCAACATAGCCCTGGCAGGACAGAGTTGCTGGCATCCCCGCCCTGCCCCGTTCAGACCTTCCCTGACTCTCCCCCCCATAAGCGGTGGTGGCTCCAGAGGTGCTCCCCTGGCCTAGAGCTTCCAGTCTCCCCTCCGGGTGCTCTCCTCTTCATGATACTGCCTGAGCCTCTTCAGCATGCACTCTCTCCGATGAACAACACCAAGTCCCTAGTGTCCATAACTTAAAACCAAAGTCCCAACATTAGCTGGATTTCCCTTCGCCATTTACAACAGAAAACTATAACATCCCAGAGGACAAGGGCTGTGACTGGTTTTACTCAAACACGTTGTCCTTCTTAGGGTGTCCAACACCCTCCTGCCCCACTCCAGCATTCCCTGCATGCCCATGCCTCCGTGCCTTTGCGCAGGCTATTCCCTCTGCTATGATGCCATTCCCCGTCCTGCCTAGTGAACTCTTTTTTTTTTTTATTTATTTTTTATTTATTTATTTATTTATTTTAATTTTTTTATTGTTAGTTTCAGGTGTACAGAACAATGCAATAGTTACCCTTTTCACCCTCACAAAGTAACAACCCCCCTCCCCCCACCCACTGCCCTCCCACCCCCGATATCGTGCTTATCTATTACAATTCCATTGAATCCTTTCCCGCACTCTGCCTAGTGAACTCTTCCTCAGCCTTCACCTCCTCTCTGGAGCCTTCTCCAACCTTTCTCCTCTCCTTCCCTTTATTTTAGCTCTTTTTCACATTGTAGCGCCACAGAGGCTACCATGGAACTGGGAAGGGCAGCCTCTTCAGAGGAACAAAGACAGAGTCTGGTGTCCTGTGAACCTCTAGGCCAAGTTCAATCAGTACTTGACACACGGATGACCCTGACATGTTTATGGAGTGAATAAGTAGATGCACAAGCGAATGGGTCCTGAACACCACTGGTGTGTCTGGGCCGCTCTGGGTGAATGAAACAAGGGCTTAATTATCAGACACACACACTGGGGTTTAAATCAAGTGGGAGCAGATGGTATCTAACCTTTAAAATTATCATGGCAGATCTGACAACAATGAAAAATACAGCTTAGGGTAGTCTGAAACACAGTAGGGAAGAAAATAACATTGATTTTGTCCTGGGAGCTCCATGTAAGACAAGCCGAAAGGACATCGCTGATGGCTTTCACATGATCGGATCCCCAGAACCCTGCACATGCTGTCTTCTCGATCAGTATGCAGAGAATTACTCTGTTCCCAGGCATGGAAGCCTCCTCCAGCCTCAGGACCCCTGACGACCTTCCCATCCCAACAACTGCTGATGAGTGGAAGCAGCGTATGGTACGGCACAGAAAACAAAGTTGGGAACAAAAGAGACCTGGGCCCGAATTCGCAGTCTACCCCTTACTGGCAATGTAACTTTTGGCAAGTTACTGCGCCTCTCCGAGCTTCAGTTTCCATATCTGGAAAATGGGGGAATTTTGACTGACCTGAGGGATTGTTCCGAGAATAACAAGAAAGATGACGGACATTAACGGACGCAGTACAGTGTCTGACATCGAGTGGGCCATGGACACAGCCGAGTGCCTTCTC